CAAAAGTTCACCCTGCAAACCATCATATGATAATTGTAGAAACTGTAATGTGCACTGTGGCGCACAACGTGCTTACATCATGATGCATAACACATAGAGGGTTACCTCGTGGCTCTATACCACATGTCGCAACACACGTGGTGTATGTCGCATCACATGGCTCAAATTTTGACTTTATTTCTTTGTTTTGAAAGCATGTAAAGACTCTAATGAATGCATTTGTTTTCTTCCACTATGCTATGCTCTTTTTAGTATTAAGTCAATTAAGAATTTTGATAATTTTTAAAATAAGTTTTGGACCCAAGCCTTTCAAAGAAAGCATTTGTATTATGGTTTGTAATGTATGTAGTGATTATATTAATCCTTTCCTTATATTATGTTGGTATAAGGGAAGGGTTACATGCAACACACCACATTACTCACAATACTCATAAAACATATTTTTATTACTTAACCCTTTAATCTCAAAAATAGAAGGGGGAGCTCTAAACACATAATTCATCAATTAATCTACATAAATAACACGACATACACATATTTTGCTTGTATTAGTATTTTGACCTTGCTATAGATCTCCTACTTTGTATACAAATACCATAAGGTCTAAAATACATTATATAATTTAACTAAACACATGGTGCAAGTAAGTCACAACTGAATTATCCTTAGTTGGAAAGATCATGCAAAATATACACATAAATACTCAAAAAGTAAAGGAGGCTTATTAACAGGATAATAATCCTATGCCTCCGGCTATTTTTCCTTATCTGATCCCCTTGAGCTAGTTCCTGTAATATTGAAGATAACATGATGAGTACAGCTACTCAGTAATCAAGGTCCATCTAACTCATACTAATACATGTCAATTAATTTAAATGCAAGTGGTAAGAAAATACTTTCTTAACATTAAACATGTTCAAGCACACGATTCGTTATTCTCGTTCATAGAGACATATACTCATGAGTTCATGATTTAGCAATGATATTTTTTACATGTAAGCAAGATCCAAATACATGATTAATTAACACATTTTCATCACCATGGTCACAGTACGATCAAACATGTGCTCTTTATCAATATATGCATGATTAAACCTCTCTTATATCCTCTTTATTCCTCTGATACGAAATTGTGGGCTATAACACATTAGGCTCGCCTATATACTGTGACTACCCTAGCTAAAACACGTGTGAGAGGTTACATGATTAAGGTTTCTTAACTCACTTACGAATCACAGTTTTCCTTAATGCTCACACTATAGGGTGATATTCTCCCTAGATTAGTTTTCTTATTGAACAAGTGGATAACTAGCTAGGTTTAAGTCCTTCGTAAAACCAGTAGAATAGTCCCTCGTTGAACAAGTAGGACGAGATAAATAATAAATCTAGGCTAACCATCGAGCACTAATGGAAGTCTTACCACGTGGATTTTAATTCTCTATTCTTCTTCCTAAGCAAACTATCACCTCTTATGATCATACAATGTGTAACCCTCCCTTGTATTTGGTATATCTACTAAATATAGGAGAAGATTAATATAATTACCACAATACAAGACCAAATTGTATTCAGTTACTTTATTTGAAAAGTTTAGGCCCGGGTCTCAATTTTCAAAATCACTATTTCCTTGACATATCATAGCAATACACAACGGAAACCAAATACATATACTCATTAGAGTCCATGTATGCTTTCAAAAGCAAAAATGATGTCAGATTTTGGAGCATGCACCACGGTGTGTCATATGGCACAAAGCCACAAGTTGACCCTCTTTGTGTCATGCACCGTGGAGTGATACGCAATACGCCATAACGCACATACCAGCTTTTATAACTATCATGTGACAATTCGCGGGGGTAAACTTCCAACATGTACCGTTTTCACATATAATGTTTGATTGGAGTGATTCAAGAGCCTACACGAAGTTTATTTCATGAACTAACCAATGAGATAAGTTTGGATACGATCCAATGGTCTAATTAAAATATGAATACTAGGGTGAAAAAAGCTACTTTTAAAAAAATTTCACACACTTAAGCGCTCAAATAGATCCCATAATTTCATTAGACCATTCTAGACCTTGAATCAAGTCCAATAAAACCTAATACACCTGATTAACCATAATTTATGACATACCTACACACAAATAAAGATTTGGTCATTCTACAGCCCATTTTTACAAATATAAACTCTTCACAACTTGGTACAAAAACATTCATCTAGCCATTTTCATTGCAATATCACCACAAATTCACTTCATAATTACCACGAGCATATTTACAACACATTTGCAACCAAATCTTAGCCCAAATTACTCATTTCACCACATATACACACATAAGGGCTAAGATTTACAAAATCACTATAATTCTCAACAAATCACAACTTTAAACATGCATGTATATCCTATGACAACATATATATACAATATACAAAAAAAGAGTTCATTACACCAACTCAGGGATTTCACAGCAGTGACACAATTATGTCGGTCCTGATTCTTTTCCTTTGCCTTGCTCAATAACTTGACCTGTAAAAATGTAACCATGGGGTCAGATAATAATCTTAGTAACAGAATAACTCTTTACTGTCAACTATCAAATGCAACTATAAATAAGTATAACATAATATACATCAAACATAGCATATACGTGGATCTCATCTCCATTCACTGTATTAATATAATGTGTCACATCAAATCACCACTTTCTAAAGTCATTTCACAACATTTCACCACTATTAACATATAGCATGATCACTACCAACTGAACCTTCAAATTACCCAAACTTGAAACCATAGGCTCGCCTTAGACCAATATATACTCTCACTTGAAATTATAGGCTCATCTTAAACCAATATATACTCTAATTGGCTTTGAGCTCACTTTCAATGATAGAATCACCTGATTAAAAGTGTTCTATCTCACTTTATTATAAAATATTTGAGTTGAAAGACAAAAACGACCCTTAATCTAATAAAAATATTAAAAAAAATAGTGAAATCTACTGATGACTAACAACGTCAAGTGTTTTTAACGTCACGATGATGACAAATAAAATCTTGAAAGTTGAGAGATAGAATTGACCCATAATTAAGTTTAAGAGCATTTGTAATTTTTTGTGTACAATTTAGGGATAAAAATGATCCTTGACACTAATTTTTATTCTCTTATGAAATAAAAATTCATAATAGAAATAAGAAATAAGCGTGATTCATGATTTTTAATACTGAGCAACAAAACAATTTTTTTTTATTCAACATGATAATGAGTTAAAGGCCATCTAATAGAAAATTGTGCTACGTATTCAACCAAAATAATATAAAATAATCAGATAAAATATTCAAAGAATATTAAATATCTTAAAATGGCATCTTGTTGAAATTTAGACAAAGTACAACTAATTATGCAGGAATATCTATGAATAATACACTCTTGCGAGATACTGATTAGCGATTACTGAAGTTTTCTTTTGAAAAAAGAAAGCAATAGAAGTACAGAACAATTTTAATAAATTATTTCTTATGAAAATTGTAATAAATAAATTAGTTACTGTTGTGTATAAGACAATGATTAAAAAATCAAACCGAACTAGACAACCGAACCGTCGACTGGTTAGGCTAACATCTTGATCAAATTAAAAAATCATTTGAAAAGTTGGGCTACTTTGGACTGGCAGTTGGATTGGGAATCAAGATCAAGCCAAAAACGAAATCTGATTTTTAAAAACTGTACTATTTAAAATAATACCTTTTTCTTTTTTAAAAAGTTAATTATTTTTTTAATTATTTAATGTTATATTATATTATGTTACTTGTTAAATCATGATAAAATTAAAATATTTAATTTTATTTTTAAATTAAACACTAATTTTATATTTATTTATTATATTTAAATTTATATATATATATATATATATATTAATTTAATTATTATATTATTGGTTTAATTATTATTGATTGGATCATGCAAACAGTCAATTGGTATAAGAGTCGTTTGATGCGCATCCACTATGACCCAAATGCCTAAGTAACTCAAACTCGGACTCAATTTTACATCACCGTCCCGCTTGTCTTTGACAGGCTATCACGAATTCTTCACCCCAATTTCACATTTCACCAAGATCCGACAATAAAATATATTATCATTAATCCCACAAAATTGATAGAATTGAAATAAAAATTTAACTCATGTCAATCATATGTTTTAGCAAAAATAAATAATTTAATAAAAATTGCACAATTAATCAAAACTAATTAAAAATATGTTAAAGCGGCATGAATTTATAAATATCAACAGTATTATCTATTCAAAACACGTTGGTAAAAACGACCCCACACAGGGAAAATGTTCATGGTCATGGGCCTACCTCCCCATGAATGCAAAGCCTAAAACCTTAGTTTTATCCAAGCTTTTGTCTTCTTCTGTCCTCCTTTTATATTTGCCTCTGTGAGACTAATTCAAGTGCACCATTTCTACTCTCATCACATCTCATGGTTTTATCTCACGTCTGATACTTTTGTGATCCAAAAAGCATACCTAAGTAAGGCTCACAAAAAACTTATTTTTTCGTGAACCTTTTTCATCCTCCTCATCTTCCGCCCCACCCCACCCCAGCCAAAAAAAAAAAAACAAAGAAACACTTTCTTTTCAAAATTTACTCCATTTAACAAATACTATACTTAAACACAACAAATTTACACATATTTGTAACCCACAAGTCATAAATATTTTTTTTCAAAGGAAAACGGTTAATTCCGTCGCAGAAAGTTTAACCAAGAAATTTGTCACCGGCCACTTTGTACTAAGTCGGTCACAATCACAAAGACACAAATTCATCGAACCCATCAATCCCAAATTTCCTTTTTTTTTTTTTAGTAATGATATAACTTTTATTAAACATTGTAGACTACAGATCATCAAGTCCCTCTCTCAGTCAAGATTAATAATTAATAAATTAAATAAATTTCAAGCAAAAGACTAGCAAGGGCTGACCTTCGGTTCTGCTAGTGTCTCACCTTGGCCATTTTCTTTCTGACACAAATTCTGCCATGTTGCCTCCAATTTTACCCTTCTACCCTCTTATCCTTCTCGCACTTCTATTCATTATATCAGCTCTGCTACTGTCTCACCTCAAACGAGCCCAAGATGCCCGGAAACAACCGCCGGGTCCACCAGCCTGGCCGGTTATCGGCAACCTCCACCTGCTGGGTACCCTCCCCCACCGATCCCTTCAGTCTCTGGCCAAACACTACGGACCCTTCATGTCCTTGCGACTAGGTCAGGTCCCTACAATTGTAATCTCTTCGCCTGAAGCAGCCGAGCTTGTCCTCAGAACATACGACACCATTTTCGCAGGCCGCCCAAAAACTCAGGCGTCTCAATACCTGTTTTACGATTCCAAGGGCTTGGCTTTCTCCGACTGTGGCCCCTACTGGCGAAGTGTGAGGAAATTCTGTAATCTCCAGCTTCTGAGCGCGTCAAAAGTTGAAATGTTCGGTCCCATCAGAAAGGAGGAGGTGGGAGAACTGATGAAGTCAATCGCGAAATCGGCGGCGGCGCGTGAGGTGGTGGATCTGACCGAGAAGGTGGAGAAGGTAGTACAGGACGTTATGTACAGAATAATATTGGGGCGGAAGAGGGACGATGGATTGGACGCCAAGAGACTGGTTCGTGAGACGTTGAGGTTGGCCGGAGCCTTCAATCCCGCAGATTACGTTCCTTCGCTTGGGCCGTTTGATATTCTGGTACGTACGGACACCATTATCACGTCCCTGAGCCATCTTTCTCTGTTTTTTGAATTTTACTTTGGCGTTTATATTGAATGGAAAGAGCAGGTCTGTCTACTATTCAAATCCAAGCACAATTCTCTGATCTCACACATAAATTTGATGAGTCAACCGGTTGGCTAAGTTAAAAGATGGATCTGGATCCAGTGAGTGCAAATCCACCCCGCAATGATAATAATATGGGGCCGTTATTAGAAATTTTGTCATGATATTAGAAAACAATAAATTTATAATTTTTGGAAGAGATACCTACACGAAAAGTCTTCTAATCTAGGATTTTAAATTTTTAAAGGAAACTATATGTTGATAATTTCCAATTGTTAGTAAAATTTAGTGGCTGTAATTGGGACAAGTGAGTGAATTTAGATCACTCAACAAATCCATTAAGGTTTCGTTTTCACTGGCCGATAGAGTTTTAGACACAGACAGATAGATCTGCAATTTCTTTTTGGACATTGCTATTGGAAGCTTGACTTTATAAATGCAACAATGAACTGGTTGTCTTTGTCTTTGTCTGATTAAATTATTAGGCATTAAAAGTTGGCTCTACAGTAGAGAATAAAGATACAAATAAATGCTGCCATATAAAGAAATATTAGATGTTATATTATATACTTTGATTGTAAATATTGAAGGCTTGACTTTATATTATCTAGTGAACTAATTGTTCGGTCACAGTATTTGATGTTGCTATTATAAACTTTGATTGTAGTTTCTCTCTTTTTTGAGTATTAATTTTCTTCTGACTTTTTATATTAATTGTTTTATTTTTAGGATTAGCTTATTAGAATTAAAATTAAATATCATTTTAAAAAATTAAGATGGCATATGACGATATGTTAAATTAACTATGTCAAAGCCACCAGTGTAGAAGTAATGATAAAATTTCTTGAAAGAAAAACATGAAAATTGGGACCTGCGCTCTTGGAAGTAGTCAAAATTCAACATGGAATACGAAAATCGAAGTAAACCATACAGATGTGAGATTTGACTGATACTAGACATATATATTGATTATTACTGTAGGGAATATAATAGAGCAAGTGTTACAGTATGTTACGGTGTTACCCTTTGATTCAGGGCTTGGCCAAGCAGTTGAAGAGGAACGGGAAGGAACTTGATGAGATGTTGGAAACTATCATTAAAGAGCATGAAGAGGAACCTAATGAGCAGAAAAAGCAACAAAAGGACTTTGTAGACGTCTTGCTGACTTCTTCCACAGATCTGCATGACAATCAACAAAGCCACGCTATTGATCGAACCAACATCAAAGCCATCCTTCTAGATATGATTATTGGGGCAACTGACACTTCTATTAGTGTCACCTTGTGGGCTTTCTCAGAACTCTTGAGGAATCCAAGAGTGATGAAAAAACTCCAGAACGAACTAGAAAACGTAATAGGAATGAATAAACCTGTAGACATTTCTGATTTACCCAAGCTGAGTTATCTGGACATGGTGATAAAGGAAACTTCACGATTATACCCAGTTTTACCCTTACTGATTCCTCGAGTGAGCGTAGAGGATATCACAATCAATGGTTACTACATAAGAAAGAATACACAAATAATGGTGAATATATGGGCTATAGGACGAGATCCAGAAATATGGTCTGAAAACGCTGAAGTGTTTTATCCTGAAAGATTCATGAATAGTAATATGGACCTTAAAGGTCATGACTTTCAACTCTTACCATTTGGTTCAGGCAGAAGAGTGTGCCCTGGTATGCAATCTGGTTTGACTGGAGTTAAGTTTCTTGTGGCACAATTAGTGCATTGCTTTAATTGGGAGCTTCCACCTGGCATGTCTCCCAGTGACGTGGACATGACTGAAAAATTTGGCCTTACAATGCCAAGAGCTAATCACTTGCTGGCTCTTCCATCTCATCGAGTAATTGTTAGTTGATGAACATGGTGTCAATAATGATACGATTTTGATTTTTGGATAATAAGTTGCTGAACTGAACAATGATTGCAATCTTATTTTATCAATATAAGACAATAGTATCTGTATCATGTCGTAGAAGTATAATCTGTGTGAGTTGACCATGTGCTGTGTCAATGTGTTCCTTATTTAGGTGGCCTAAAGGTTGTGTGATTTTTGTTATAATTTCATATTTCCTTCCATATTCTCAAGTCTCAGCTTTATATATAAATTGAACATTTTGTCTCTTGGAGGACATCTGATGCATCGAATTTTTTTTTTTTTTGGGTTGTATGTATGGAGATTTATACCAAACATATTGTCAGATTAATGAGTGAATGATTGTGATTCATTGGTAGCATCTATTTAGTGGTAAGCCATCATGGGGAGTACACACACACACCCCCCCACCCAAGGGATGCTGAGAAGCTTTTCACCAGAGACCTATTCGGCAATATATGTATGTATGCATGTACCCAATTACTGTGTATACATCTTTCAGACGCTTGAGTGGACCAGTTGTGTTATATAGGTGTGCTTGTTGCGCGCACACAAACGCACATTATGTTAATCTACATTTTCGTTAATTATCATGTGCCCAAGATATTTTGCATTATTTTTTGAAACAGGGGAGGTATATTTTTTTACCAGAAAACAGGTAGGTTTTTAGATACATGATTTCTTTTCAACTCATTAAAAATCTTTCAATTTTCACAAAGAAGGAGATGGTCGAGAAGGATGAAGGAGAGCTTTGATTCGGAGATGGCAGAAAGTACGTAGCAAGATGTAACAATATGGAATATTTTTCACAGCAGGAAGGGAAAGCTTTGATTCAAACTTGACAGAAGGCGTCCCACACCAAAGAAGGAGATAGACATGAACGATTGGGCTTCAGTGGTGGACATCAACATCTTCATGTTGGCAGGTTCAACGACTGGGCTTCATAGCGTGAAAACGAGATCTCATTCCATCTCACCGTCGAAAGCTATGAAGTACGCAGATGGAGAAGATCATGGGTGATTTCAATCCTTTGAAGGAGGAGGCTATTGCATGGAAGAAGAGAGCACCTAAATCCCTTTTTTTTTTTTAATCCTAACAGTATGAAGTAACTGAAATTTGCTGTCTCCTAAAGTATGGATGTAGCCATGATTTCTTCTCCTCCAAGTTATTAGGAGAAGATTTTATACACGCTAGCACTCGCATGAATAAAGTCTTTAGCTTGTCTTGAAATATTAAACCTGATTCAAGGATGCATGGAAATTTTAAAAATTCATTTAAAAACCTTGGTCAATTATAGTTTTCTAAAAGTTTGTAATTCGCATGTGATATGTAATTGTTAAAAATTATTAAAATATTATAAATATAAATTAAAAATTTTACCCATGCGCTGCTTCCTAGACTTTAATGACGGGGTAGAAGTCCATTTTCAACTGTTGTCGAAATGCTAAAGTGATGATTAATAACACTTCTTTAGGGTCCACAATATTCATTTTTTTTATTTTTTATTTATCCTTTCTCTCTTCCTCCCCTATTCTTGTTCCTTTTTTCCCCATCCTAGGTCTAAGAACTCTGCACTCTAATATAGAATGCAACTTTTCTTCATTTAGCTGTTACCTCTGGCTCTTAATATTAAAACGAAGTTTGAGAGTTGTTTTTATCTTTAATATAAGATAAAGTTAGAGTAATTAATTTTTTTATTTTTACTCCTTATTTATTTATTGCCATTTTAATTTCTAAACCTAAACAACAATTTATTATGGCTATTATTTGCAAAGAATGGTTATATTTTCATTTTTTAATAAATGCAAACACTAGTTAATTTTGTCTTATGTTAAAGACCGAAGTAGTACATGTTAGGTTTGTCTTCCTATCAAAATAGTTTATTCTAATTTGATAGGACTTACAAAACTTCAACCCCTTCTTTAGTTAATGGATGATGGACTTTTCTACACATTCTAATATAAACTTGGCGCCAAATATCAATACTAAAATTTTATAGAAGTATAATTTTAAATATTTATTAAATTACTGTAAAATAATATTTATTGAAATAGATTACTAAACAAATAGGATATTTTATAATCAATATAATAGAAAACAATATTAGAAATGAAGAAAACTTACATACTTAATATACTTTTGCTCAGTTATATCACAATGTAGATTTCAAAGTGCTTACAATATCAAAAATATTAACAGCATACAAGTCTTTTTCTTTGGATATATATATATATATATATATATGTTTATGATGTCAAACATAAGTTTTTGGTTTGGAGGCAAAATGAAATTGTTTAGGAGAACAAGAGGAATTTTTTTTGGGGCTTGTGTATAGTATATTTCTCACAAATATGATCTATGAGTATATTAATTTTAGTTAGTGGGAATCCTTATTCCATGGGCCTAGTCCGATGCCTGCAGGTCCATCCCTACTTTCGTGAAGATCTATCAATCTAGATAGAATTGAAAAAACGGGCCAGCCCTTGAAGGGATTAGACTTAAAAAGGCCAATTTTTTTAAGTCCGAGTTTCTTTTAAAACCTTGATATATGAAGCTTAGCCCTTGATATAGCTGGCTCAGGGCAGGCCTTGTGAGCTTCAAACCCTTTTAACTATTTTTATTTTTTTCAAATTTTTTAATCAAATAAAAAATTACTTCATACTAATATAATACCCAATCAAGATTGGTAGACAAAACTAACTAAACAACATCTAAATGAACTAAAAACACAAATGAAATGATAGTAAAGCAATAAGCAATGGATCGGCTAAGCCAACAAACATTCAATCGAAATTAGATGAGATTGAGCCTTGAAGGACTAAGATATAGGACTAGCATATCAAGGAAAATAAAGAGCATGGGCACAAGATATGCATCAGATAGAGTTTAGCTCATGAGTTATGAATGCACGAGCATGATAAGTGATAGGAGAACTTAGGAGATTGATGACAACAAGCGTCAACTAGTCAAGCATTGTTGAGATTTGGTTCTTGGAAGGGAGCACTATCGGAATGAGCAACAAGGATGATAGAAGAGTGAGCAAAAATAGGAGCAAGAATGACTTGTGAGTTACAGTGACAGGGACAGGGACAGCGATGAGGTGACTTGCTGAAGAGCAAGGACAAGTTGTAGCGGCAAAAAAGAGAGAAGCATAGTGAAGAAAGAAGAGTAATGTTAAACTGAATGAATCATTATCATGAATTTAGATGAATTAGGAGATTTAAGGTTGTATTTTTTTTAAAATAACAACCAAGGATTTCTGTATGAAATTTATATCAACTAAGAACCAATTGTTGTCAAAACTTGAATGAAAAACAAGCTATAATGAACTGTTGTTAATTTAAAATGAGTTGTTATTAAAACCTAAATGAATACTTATTGATAAAGGCTAACTTAGATCTACAGATATTCACTTAGATTTTGACAACAAGTTATCCTTAACTGATATAATTTTTGATTAGTGATTCTTTATTGCTATTTTTTCTTTTTTTTTGGCCTTCTATCCTTAATAGATACGGGTTGATAAATAATGTGGAGTAAGATTTAGTTTAATTTTTTTTTCAAATCTAAAAAAAGTGAAAGTCATGAGAATTAATTAAAAAAATATACACATGGCGGCTTAAATGGGCTGGCCCTATAGCAATCGTTGCAAGGCCAACCTGTTTAAGTTCTAAATTAAATGAGGTTAAACAGGCTAGTTCGTTTAAATCTGATTTATCATTTTGGAGTCATACTTGCAAACTCAGCCTTATTATTATATAGGTTTAAACAGGTTAGCCCGACGGGCTCAACTCATTTTTTTGGCTCTAAATCTGGATGAGAAATCTTTAGCGAGAAATTAATATCCAGAGGATAGTACTGGACGTGTTTTTTTTTTTTTTTTCTGGAGGTGCTCATGAGGAGTTTTCAAATATCAGATCTTGCGGATGTAATTGGCTGTATTAAACCTGGTGAATCTGGACCAAGTGGAGCCGTATGTTGAGGCAGGCAGTTTTGATTATTTTTATAAACAAAATTGAGTATTGGGTGCCTGCGAGTGCAATAACAAATGCTTAAGTGGACAATGGTGAATACCACGAATATCAACCAGTGATTTTAAAATTGAATTGGACTGGACAGTCCAATCGGTTGGACCGCCATTTGGTCCTTGTTTTGATTCGATTTAAATTGCAAAATTTGTTTTAACTTTTAAATCAGGTTTGGCTGTTCTAAATCAGTGGGTAGAGCCAAACCGTTAAAAAACTGTGAACTAGAGCGATTTTGTGAAAATTGGATGGCTTAGTTTTTTTTTTTTTTATATATATATACTTTGTTTCAATTTTAACCCTACAAAACTCCCTCACTTCTTAGAAAAAATTATTTTTATGTAAATCGCTAGCAACGTTCGGTCTGTTTAAAAATATTGACATCAACAATGCAAAATTAACCCTAAAATCTGAACTCATTTAAGACCTCCGAGCTATGTATTTGTGTGTAACAGTCAAACATGAATGCTAAATTTCTGACTCAATTATCTCGGCTATGTACGCGGACATGTGGTTAGAAAATTTGAGAAATAATTAATTATTTAATCAAAATTACATTATCTTCAGTGTACTTTGTTTTTTTTTAAAGTATCTTCAGTGCGTGATTACGAATAAAGGTCTTTATTGTGCATTTTTGGAGTTTAAAAGCTGCAAGTTTGATATTAATCTTATATTATTATTTTTAAAGTAATAATAATAATGGGCGGATTACTAATTGGCGAGTTTAATCTTTATATGCATATATATATATATATATATATATAAAATCAGGACTCTCAAACATATGTATCAACGTATTACGAAGCTATGTTAGCTTCATATTTTTTTCATGTGCTCACACGTATACGCAGGCTGAATAATTTCTCAATAATATCTAATGATGGCTTCCATATTGTCAAGCTCCATGCACACCATTGATTTCTCCTTCCATTAATTTCTTCCCCAATTTGCAAGGTCATAAAAATAATCAACCCATAATGTATTCATTAATGGATTTTAAATTGCATCAATAATTTTTTAAATAAATATTAATAAGGGTGGGCTCACATTTAAATTTTAATAAATTTAATTATTTTTATTTTGTAAATATAATGCAAATATCCCGGAAAATAAATTTCTTAAAATTTAAATAATCAACACATAAAGATTAACCCCATTGTTTTTAAATAACATCAATATTTTTTAAATAAACTTAATAAGGTTGAATCCAAATTTAAACTTCAATAAATTTAAAATTAATGATTAAATTGAAAATATCTATTGAGAAAATAATCTTATTTTGTGAATAAATTGCAAATACCCTGAGTAAATTGTTTTTGGTTACTTAGCTTACTGATTATTATGAAAATATCCATACAACTATTTTACAAATGGTTTTCTGGAAATAAATTGCTTAATGATTATGGTGTCCTGGAAATTGAAAACATTTCAAAATAAATTACAATATAAATTGCACGGGACACAACTGGCATCATAGTTAAGTTGAAATTTTGGTGGTGTGATGGCAATATCATTTGCGTAATGACACTGATTTTTCAATGTATCATTGACTTCTTGCAATAAATCATGATGAAATTATTTCCTTAAGATTGCTAACATGATTTATAGTGAAATTATTTGTAGAATATACCATAATTATTATTTTTCAATAATATCTAAATATTACTTCTAGAATGTCAAGATGAAGCTCCAGCATGTCATTGATTTCTCCTCCAATTTGCAAGATCCAAAAAATAATCAACCCATATGCATGCAATAATTAGTTGGATCTCAATATGGTTTATTTGATTTTAAAAATGACTTTTATTGGCGACATTCGTCTTGGACTGTGAGTTGGATCTCAATGATATTGCTTAGCAAGCTCGAAATGTTGAATTTAATCCCAAGGCATGTCTTCTATTACTTTGTTTCAATTACGTCTGCAATATCAAATTTAAGTATTGTCATTGCTTATTAAGTTGATACAAATGTTGTCATTATGCCGCGTTTTCTGATGCCATTATGAGAATAAGAGAACCGAAAACTACAGCTTTGATCTTTTCTTCGGGGAAGGTGGTGAGCGCAACCCATTTCCCTCCTCGAAACTATATTAAGTTCTGTTATTCCTGACTCCACAATTTATCAATTCTGTGAAGCAACGGGTTTAATTTCTTCCTTATCTTTCTTGCTACGAGGTATTACTTGATCATGTTTATGCTTGTGTTTTCCTGGCCTGCATGGTGCAAAAAGTGAAGCAAACTCAACTTTCTGCGAGAAAAGTAAATATTTCAAGTAGCATACAGTAGTCTTTAGCATTTATCAATCTCATTCATCGATCGAGACAATACGCAAACAAATGAATAAAGAGACGCGGATGTTTTACTTTGAATTATGTGACAGAGTTGAGCTATTCATATATGATTCCATGGTGAATTGGCAGTTTACTTATGTAGTCTATATATAGTTGAAATTATATGCCAAATTGATATGGATTTCTGGTTCTCAGTTTGCTTGAATTATCCCAAGGCTTGGTTTGAAGTCAAGTTTAAGGTACTTTTGTTACTTTATCTGCTGGACAAGTATAAACATGAACTGATGGTTTTGTTAGTGCAACGTTTTATATTCTAAATTGAAACTGAGTGACATGATTTCAAATTAAAATTCAGAATACAGTCGGGTCCTGTGATGTAAACTTCAAAATTCACAATGGTTAAAAGTCCTTTCTTTTTTGTAGTGATTGTGATTGGAGTTCAATAACAAATTCCTTCCCCCCCTAAACGAATATGCGTGTGTATGTATAGACGATCACATGGCTACCCAGATGTTGTTCATATGGCAAAGGAGCTTCAGGAAATGTGGCCTTAGAAGATTTATACATGTTGAGTGGGATTGGGGTGATAACTGGTGTTCATCTTAGGAAGCTCATGTCAGCTGGAGATTTCGTTGGCAAGCATTTGTGAAGTTTAAAAAATAGTATATAAAAATTAGTTATTTGTAATTATAATATATGTGGAGAATTTTTTTCATATGCATTGGAGTGGTCTTTTTGGCTCCAACACTGTCGTTGCCTTGACAAGAGTTACTAATGATGCGACATATGACAGGGAACACGCGCGTGTGCACGTGCATGCACAAAGATACATGCATCCATACACACGCAGGAGGATTATGCTTCAACCAATGAGAGATAAGTTGGTATATATAAATTTTATGTTGTGTTCCTCTAACAATTGTTGTTGAAGCATAAGGATAAGATGCCAACTCAAATCGTTGAGCAAGGCAGGAAGAAGTAATATATTTCAAGAAGGCATGTTGCTCCCTCAGTGCAATGTTCCGTACCTGTCACTACTTTTCATTCTTTGACTGTGCACAATTCCTAAAGTTGTACAGAAATGACATGTATCACACACATGATCTAATTTTATTTCAAAGTCCCAATTTTCTTTCAATTTTTATATGTTCCTGTGCTTCTCTTCAAATCTCAATCTCATCCTTAATTATAAAGCCGGTAATTCAGGAAAGCCGGACTCATTTGGGTTGAGTTCAATTTGAATTGTGATTATTCAAATCGAGCTCAAAATATCCTATTTTTTAAAAAAAGTTCATATAGCTAAACTTGATCCTAATTTTTTTTAATCGAGTTTGAGCTTGACTTGAATTACCGGCTCTACTTAATTCCTATTTGGTATGCTGGAAATGTTCTAAGTGGAAGTGAAAGTAAGTGGGGAACAAAAAGGTGTGGAATTGGAATTTAAAAACATGTTTGATATGCATAAGGAAAGTTAGTACATAAATTTAATTAAAAATGTAATTATGATGTGAAATTACCAAACTATCCTTCTCAAAAATAAATCTCTCTTCCTACATAAATTCATTGGCATCATTGGAAAAACTTCCACTTGCGGGAAATCAAACCCATTAACAATATCAATCACAGGACAACAATTAAATAAAAAAGTCAATAGCAATTCACCTCAATCAAATCTAGATTTGTTGAAAATGCCCAAAAAAAAAAACCCCCATTTTCACAAACATTGAAGAATTGATTAAGTCAAGCTAGCCCATATAATCCAACCATATTCTGACATTCAGCTTGTTTGGATAGCCCAAGTAATCGATTATTTGGGCTAAATAATTAATTTCAATCAAAATTATTCAAACAGCTAAAAATTAAGATAATTGATTGTTGAAGCATAATTGCATTTTCAAGTAAGCTACCTCAGGCTGATTATAGGAATCAATTTTATTACTAAAGCATTAATTATTCTGTTAAAATCAATTGGGAGAATGATAAAGAGATCCTAAAAGGACCAATTAATTTAAATTAGGTTTCAAATGTCTAACTCCAAAAATTTACAACTCAGTCTCTTAATTTTTCAACTGTATTGTAATAAATTTGCAACTTAATTTTCAAACTTTAACATGATTGAAGATTAAAAAAAATTTATTTTTCTTGTTAAAATTTGAAATATAAGTTACAAATTCATTATAATGCAGTTGCAAAATTAAGAGATTGAATTGTAAATTTTTGGAGTTTAACACTTGGGATTAAATTTAAATTAATTGGTCCTTTTAGGACCTTTCTGCCATTCCTCCAAATCAATTTTAGAAAAATAATTTTCAAACAAATTGCGTATAACATAATCAATTATGATTAAAATCAATCATATTAATTAATTATTTTTATAATCAATTATACCTAACTAAAATCCAAATGGGCTCAATATCTGGTTATATTTGAATTCTTATGGCTTGTTTTCAATAGATTATCCTTTTTGATTGTGTAAAAAATTTAAATCATCATCATCATAATTATTTTTTGAAACCTAATCAAAGGGAATCACCATTCACCAGGTCATCTATTGGATTAATTGATTATTTCACTAATGTATGGGATTACTTTTTAATGACGTCACAACTTGGCTTGTCAAAAACTCTAGAATCATGATATTTCTTAGGAGGGGAAGATTGCTGCTACAAAGATCCTAGCAGAGAAATCTGATTTGTTGAATGTATCACCAAGTCATCTCTTTTGAACAAATGTATTAAAAAAATTTAAGACTTTGAAGAGAATCAAATACAATTTCAAAAGATGACGTGTATATTTTATATTTTTAAATATTTAATATAAAAAAATCTTATACTCTCACCTCGTCTCAAATTATAAAATAATTTAAGATAAAATTACATATATAAATATAATATAATATAATATAATATTTTATGAATATATTTTTTAAAAATAAAATTATAAACTTTTAAAAATATTTTTATATACTTAATCGTTATACTATAACATCATTTCAATATTTTTCCTATCATTGGTTTTTTTTTTCAAATTGTCTTATATTTCAAAATATCTTTAAAATTGTCTTATAATTTAAAATGAGGAGAATACTTTTTAATGGAGTTAGTCATTATTCACAATATTTATTTGGCCCACAGGGGAATTTAGTTAGTTTTGGTGGAAATTGAAAGTAAAAGAAGAGAATAGTCACCAAAGGGTGACGCAGGCGAGGTGTTATATTAATCTAGCTTTATTGCTCACACCATGATTCCCTCTCTGAGAAAAACTCTCTACTATAATATATTTATATATCTTATACTTTTTAACCAAGTTAGTCATTATTCACAATATTTATTTGGCCTGCGGGAAATTTAGTTAGTTTGGGACGAAATAGAAAGCAAGAGAATAGTCACCGAAGGGCGACGCAAGCGAGCTGTTATATTAACCTAGCTTAGTAGCTTCATTACTCACACCATTATTTTCTCTCCGAGACAAACAATCAAACATGTTGCATCCACCTCTACCCCTCCCTTCTCTTCTCCTTCTCCCACCCATCTTCCTTCTATCAGCTTTGTTCCTATTCCTGTATCTTAAACGAACACAGCATGACCGGAAACAGCTGCCAGGTCCACCTTCCTGGCCGGTTATCGGCAACCTTCACCTGTTGGGTACTCTCCCGCATCGGTCCCTTCAGTCTCTAGCGAAGCACTATGGACCCATCATGTCCTTGCGGCTGGGACAAGTCCCTGCTGTTGTCGTCTCTTCCCCTGAAGCAGCCGAGCTTTTCCTCAAGACGCACGACGTCGTTTTTGCAAGCCGCCCGGCTAGTCAGGCGTCGGAGTTCCTCGCTTATGGCTCCAGGGGATTGCCCTTCATTGAATATGGCCCCTACTGGCGCAGCATGAGGAAGCTCTGTACTGTGCAGCTTCTGAGTGCGTCCAAGGTGGAGATGTTCAGTCCCCTGAGAAGGGAGGAGTTGGGACAGTTGGTGAAGTCGCTTGAGAAATCGGCGGCGGCGCGTGAGGCAGTGGATGTGACGGAGAAGGTGGGGCGGCTTGTAGAAGACATAATGTACAAAGTGATACTTGGACGCAACAGGTACGATAGGTTTGATCTGAAGGGGCTTATTCGTGAGGCACTCACCTTGGTTGGAGCCTTCAATGTTGCGGATTTCGTGCCTTTCTTGGGTCCACTTGATATTCAGGTAGTGTTAAGACTTGTAAGAATTGAATAGAGACAAGGAAGTAAACATTCACCAAAACGATGATTATTGAGTGTTACGGCACCATAAATTCTTCACTTTAAGGATTTATACCAATAAATTATTTCTTAAGTAAGAGGTGAAATGCAAACCTCAAATAGTCAAACTACGGGGACTAACATGAGGGAGAAGTCATAAGTAGGACACAACTCACTTTTATAGGAGTAATTTTTTTATTCAGTCCATAAAAATATATTAAGTATATAAGATTAATTACATAAGTTTTATCTTTTTTAATACATATTTTAAAGGTAAGATTTTAAATATAAAATCAAGATCTATCTATCCTAACTTCACAAAAATGCAAGTCACTTTTAATTATTTGACAGAATTTAAATAGAAAAAATAGTTAACGGACTAAGTTTGTCTTGACTACTGAGATAAAAAAAATATTTTAAAAAAAGTATTGAAAAGCAAGGTATCAGGCCTCAAATTAGCTCCAGCAAATTGCAAAAGGGGAAAATGGAAATACTGGAAAAATTTAATTAATACTCTTGCATGTACGTATATAAGGATGATCAAGTTCTTTGAGAAAGCCATCTACGCAAGTGACGAGGAGTATAAATTTGAAAAAAACTTTATGCTTAGCTTTATATACTTAAAGTATTTATTTTTAATTAAATTAAAATATTCGTATCTTTTAGTTATTATTTATTCCATAACAAATTCTTGTTATTAATATTATTAACAAATTAAATTTCATATATCTTAATTTGATGAGATAAAAATATATTAAATATATAAGATTGAGTACATAAGTCTTGTCCCTTTAAAACAAGTCATGTGATTTGGTACGATACCCTATTATGGAAAGATTGCCCTCTTTTACACTTATACACCTATATTTTTTCCATAAGAAAGTCACAACTCCACATGAAGTCTTATGGAATGCACTTATTGGGGACATTCGAGCGGCATTGTAAGAATAGCTAGAGGTTACTAATATCATGATAGGAAGATCCCTCACACTCATAACTCAACTTCACTTGTGAGGTTTCTTGATATAGAACTCTTTACATTTTGTCAGCATTTGCACATTAAGTTTTAACATTCTTGCTTGACTTGATTTATACAAAACAAAAAAAAAATGTATTAAACATGATGCCACGCATAGTAGTATTTAATTGACCAGTTGGTTTGTGGAATGCCAACAACTTCATCTTCATTTGTATGATCTCGTTAGTCCACATAATGAGAGAGAGAATGAGAGGCTATGAGGAAGAATGCCAACAACCTCATCTTCATTTGTGGAATGCCAACAACTTCATCTTCATGCTGTGGTAAACAAGGCCCTTCACTTTAATTATTAGTAACCGTTCGACAACCAATTAGATTAAAAACCGAAAGAAAAATTGCCACGATTTTGGAAACTAAAGTATTGCTTTTAATTCAGGGCATTAGAAGACGCATGCTGAAGACGAGCAAGGAGCTTGATGAGATATTAGAAACCATTATGAGAGAGCATGAAGTGGCACCGGTAGGGCAGAATGGAAGACGTAAGGACTTCGTGGACATACTACTCTCTTGCATGAATACTTATGATGATCAGCATAACTTTGTCATTGATCGAACCAACATCAAAGCCATACTTCTGGACATGATTGCTGCTTCATTCGACACTTCTGCTGCTGTTGTTTTGTGGGCTATCCCAGAACTCTTGAGGAACCCAAGGGTGATGAAAAAACTCCAACACGAACTAGAAGTCCAAGTAGGAAAAACCAGAATGGTTGAGGAAGCTGATCTGCCAAGGTTGAGTTACTTGGACATGGTGATTAAAGAGACCATGAGACTTTACCCTGTTGGACCATTATTACTCCCTCGAGTGTGTAGGGAAGACATCACAATCAATGGGTATCGCATAAAGAAGAATTCACGACTCATAGTGAATGTATGGGCTATAGGAAGAGATCCTAAGACATGGTCTGATAATGTGGAGTCATTTTGTCCAGAAAGGTTCTTGAACAGCAACATAGACTTTGGAGGACATGACTTCGAATTCTTGCCTTTTGGTTCAGGTCGCAGAGGATGTGCTGGTATACAGTTGGGTCTTATTACTGTGAAGCTTATTTTAGCACAATTAGTGCACTGCTTCAATTGGGAACTACCGGATGGCATGTCTCCTGATGAGCTGGATATGTCTGAGACATTTGGCCTATCAATGCCAAGAGCTGATCACTTGCTAGCTGTTCCATCTTATCGCCTGCTGATTAATTGACCAATTTTTTCAGCTCAATAATGGGTCGTACTACACAACCCTCTTATCCTAGTCAACGAAACAAACGTTATTGGAACAGTACAATAAGTTTCATTTTTAATTGGTCAGTGTGGATGTAATCTTCTTTACGGAAATAGCTAAAAATTATGTAATAATGAATTTATTTTATAATGTCAGATTATTTCCTTCCGTATTTTAAAATCAGTTTTATATATTGGTTACCTTTTGTGATGACCTTAAATGACTTTCAACTGAACAATTTACAACAATTCTTACTCTTTTGGTCCTATTTATACTTCCAAAATGTTTTACAGAAATGAAAAAAACTTTAAAATTTATTAACTTTATACAAAAATTTAATAAATTTTTAACTTTATCCCTACTAATAAATATACATATCTTAATAATATATTTTTTTCTCTTTAATATTCAATAAAGGGTAAAAGTGTATATGCAACTAAATTAAACTAAGAAACACTCTGATGTGTATAGGGGGTAACTTAGGTCAAACCACTTGCAGAGTTTATTAGAAATTAAAACCTTAGTTGATTCACTTGAGAACATTAATGAATGATTGGATTTGTTGATTGGAAATTAAAACAACAAAGATTGAATATAAAGTAATCTTTTGGGTATCTTTCAATATTGGACAAATTTGGAGATGAGTGGTCTGTGTGATGAAAATGCAATGTTAGGGCCTTCTTAGGCACATGAACTCTATCTCTTATCCTTTCCCTATCTAATTAATTTCCCCTTAACCTCTAATTGGTTTTAAAAACATCATAGTAACCACTAGGAATTGGAAATCTTGGGTTCTTTAGATTAATTAGGACCCTAAATGAATCCTTAGAACTAATTATGCTTAAAAATGACTAATTAATTATGAAATTAATTACTAATTCCAGAACTTCCCTTTTAGCCAAATGAGACTTCAAATTGATTGAAAAAATAATTAGCCAAGCTCAAGTGTGCATAATGCACAACTGTATCTTACAAGCTTACAAAAGGCAACTAGCACACAATACAATGCAATAAGAGATTGAAAAGTATATTAATATGAAGGTTGAGCACGCCTAGCCACTTCTCATTTGGACCTCCATAACTCCTCCTTGATGACCACCAAAAGAAGACTCCATGGAAGAACACTTGAAGAATATAATTGGCCAAGATGAAGTGGAAGTGGATGATGATTCTGGTTTATAGGCTTTAGTGCGGACTCTTAGGGGAGTGATTTGGTGTACTTGGATGCTGAAATGGAGGGGTTTAACGTGTAGAAATGGTGAAATGGAGGTTAGAGTTCATGGATATTCTTGAGAGGAAATGATGAATGTGAGTGGAGGTGGAAGAAAGTGAATTTTCGGCCAAGTTGATGAATGATCTGTACAGCATGAATTCTGAAGGTTTTTTTGGATGTTTAGGGCTCATTTAGATCAATCTAATGACTAGAAATTATGCCGAACAAGTTCCCTAAAGTGATGTAACACTTATATATGTGCACTTAAGGGTTCTTTCACGTGGTAAATGATGCATGGTCATGAATTTTAGGAGGGGATTATTTAAACGATAATAATGAAAATGAAAGGAAAAACTAAATCTGAAAATGGATGGGAAATTATGAAATTAATATGATGGGGATGATACAAAAATACATAACAAAAATAAGTAAAAAGGAAATTAAATTTGGAAAGTGAAATTGTCATGATTATCCTTAAGCTTTTTTGAGCACCCATCATTTGCAACCTTTTGATTATCAAATTAACTCATCTAAGGGCTTTAGTTTCATGCAAGGAGCTATCATCATCATCCAAGAGTCTCCCATAACCTCAAACACATATTGAACTCATTGAATAACAAGTTATGAACAAAAAATTCTATGCATCTTGTGAATTTATTCAACTTAGTGTGAATTGTGAAAATGTAATGTAGTAGTGAATTGAAGTAACAAAATGAAAGATTAGAATATGAATTTAGTTATAGTAAATTTCTTAGGAGTTCTTGATTACAAAAATTAAATCTAATATACTTTTACAATTTATGAAAAATACAATTAAACATTAAAGTGTAAAAAGTATGTACTTTAAAAAATGTTTTAGTGAATAATATAACTTACAATTTAAGTTGAATTAACTCAATTTAAAATCATGGGATTAATTAAGAACTAAAAATTAGACAACGATGAAATTTTTTATTTTTCAAAAACTATTTTCAAAATTAACAGTTTGTCTCTAAATTTTTAGAATTTTCACTTTGCCCCAAAAGTTTTGGAAATTAAAAAAATGGCTCAAAGGATTCTAAATGCTTCTAATATAAACAAAATACCCCTAAAAAGTGTTAAAAATTAAGGAAAATAATATGAGCAAATGACAATATCATCAGCAGAAATTTATGATGAAAATTTGGTGATATAACTTATAAATAAGACAAAAAACTTCTCATTTTGTCTTATAAATAGGGTCAAAGAGAAATGTATTAGTTACAAGTAGTGAGCAGTATATTTTACTGCTCAAATTCCTTATCATGAAAAAATTTGTCTAGATTGTAAAAATGTACTCCCTCCAAGCCTATTTGCATATAGCATATTGCTCGAATTCTTTATAATTATGATTTGTTTCTTCACTATATGTATGACTTGTTTCTTATAAATAAGTCGAAGGTAGTATTTGCTGCTAAATTAAAGTTCATTTATGAGTTAATTTGAAGATTAAACCATTCTTAATGCTTTCAACAAATACCATTTTCCAGTCGCACTGTGCTTGAAGGAGCCAAGATAATAAACAAATTCACATTTTTTTCATGTCTCAATCAATGGAATATAATTATGATGCCGTACGTTTGCGCCGACTTCAAAGTTAAGCATTGAAATTAAATATTATATGATAGGAGTATTATATTACCTTATCTCTTATCATGTCTCGTCCTCATGTTACCTTAAGGAGTTGACCGTCCTACAATCAAAGTCTGAACTCGACTCCTTTTCACTTCAAATTTTAATTTAGTGATGACAACACCATGTACGCGGTTTCCTTATGAATTTAGAGGTATACTTGCATAAAATAAAATCATGGTTTTGAATTTGTTGAATTAGTTATTAATGACTAAAGCTGTTGGTCAATTTTCAGGCTTTCTAAGGACAAATTTTGATGCCAAAGCTGACATTGCAATTTGATTTTGGGTTTACGTTAATTTCAATTACTTAATTATTTCTACGGGGTATGTGTGAAATTGGTTTGAAAATGTATATGTAGTGGAATGTGGATTGATTGATTATTCAAATCTCAAGTATGATTGGCATTTAACAACAGTTAAAAAATTGAATTTACAGAGCTTCTAGAACCATTGTTGTTATAGAGAATGTTGAAAGTCAATAACTTTCAATAGTAGTTATACAATCATTGTTGAAAGTAACTTTTTTATATCGGATCCAAAATTGATGTAAAAAGTTGATAATTTCTTATTTAATTAAAAAAAGATTAATGAGCAAAATAAACCTTAAAGTATTGTGTGAAAAACTCCTTGAACCTTGAACAATTAAAATGTGCAAAATAAATTTAAAGATTTTAAATTCAGAGCATTTTAAACCCCATCATTATCTTTTTGTTAATGCCATTACTGTTCACCATGGGGCCTAATGAAATGCTAATATGGAAGTCTCTTGTTGATGTGTCATTTATTAATTAGCACCACAAATCCTAAACTATTATAGGAATAGTGTCATGAACCCTAGCTAAACTTTAAAATTTTGAGCAAATCATCTCCGTTATGTATAAAACATTAACTATTATATAAATCAAATTAACTTTAGCATGGCCTGGCATAGTGAACTCATTATTGGCTGCAACAAACGACCCATAATTTTGTAAAATGATGTTTTTGCCCATTTTTTGAAAATGTTTTCCAAACGATAGCTATCTCATTATTCCATATACTCTATAACTCTTATTTATTCTTATTTTAAATAATTTTTATTAATTTAATGATAAAAATTTAGGATCCCATTTAAAAAGAGGTCGAGAACATCATCGCATGTGGGGCACAATATTTTGGGGGCATAAGTATATACAAATGTAATATTTAAAACCACCTTTATCTCACATACCCCTAAAATATTGTGCCCTACATGCAATGATATTCTCAACCTCTTCATTAGAGAATGGATTCATAATGTGAAACATCTAAAGTATAAAATTGCAATTAAAACATTGACTAACTAGCTCAAACAACAATAAAATTATATTTTTAAAAATATATTTATCTCGTTAATAAATTTAATCATTTTAATGTGATGATATTGAGCATGTACATTATCACATATAAGCTACACAAACTAGTCTTTACTAGTTGTCCATGAATGTGTATAAGAACAAATATATAAGCCATAAGTAATAAATTTTAATAATTGAATAAATTAATAAAGTGTTAGGTTCACTTATCTTTGGCTCGATCCACATAAAATCTTTAAGTTCATGTGTGTGCTTTTTTATAAACATTATTTGGTATGTTTTCATTACCCTATGACCAAGATCACAAGATTAATAACTAATATATCCATAAAAATTTAAATTGAATAGTTTTTATATAACTACACTTACAAATCTATCATGTTCTTTATTTTTTTGAAAGGTTTGTAATGGAAGGAGTATAAGAAAAGGATTGTGTTACTCTTCAATTAAAGAATAATCAGCTGTTGCAAAATAGGTTATGTATAAAAGTTCATATGACCTGGGTTTACTTTGAATTTGAAGGTTGACCCATTCTTAGTTATTAGCAAATAGCACATTTCTCATTTGCGTTATGCTTGAAGGAGCGAACCAATAATATATATAATATAATTAATTAATGTCACGTTTGCATTGATTTCAAAGTTAAGCATTGAAATCAAATATTAATTATATTCTATTATATCAGTGAGTTGCTCGTCTTAGAAATCAAAGTCCAACTTTTGTTATTTTTATACTCCCTCCATACCACAATATAAATTATTATTAATTAATTTATATTTTTTTAAAAAAGTTGGTTAAAATCTTAATTTTGAAAAAAATTCATATTTTTCCAATCTTGTTCTTGAGTGTAATTATAACATTTGACTTATTTAAAATATTCTTATTAATTGCTCTATAAAGTAACAGTGTAATTAATATATATATATATATATATATGACACCAGCCAATACCCTATATTTTGAACCAAGC